GGTTTTTTTTTTTTTTTTTTTTTAATCTTTATTTTTATTAATCGAGGAGGAAAAAGCAAAAGAAACAAAAGGACTTCTGCTCCGTGTGCCAAAGTAGGGAGAGATAATGTTATTGACCGATTTGCACTGGCTGAGATGTTACTTGCCTTCTACTTCTTGATCACTTGCTCTTTAAGTAAAATGAGGCACAGAGTTGTTGCTGAGACGAGTGGGAACAGCATTTTGATTTGCTGGTTTAATTAAAAAAATGATAAAGGATTAAAGGTAAGCAATATGCATATATTTATATATATGTATAAATATTTCAAAAATAGACTGTGAAAGGGAGAGATCCCTTTAAAAATCGTTTTAACTATGAGCTTTATCAAACACACACTCATTTGCGATCACTGAGGCCACCTTGGTGCAGATCACTTAAAGTGTATGTCTTAATCAGTTTCCTGTACAGTCAGTAATACTATATTTAACAGACCTAACAATTGTGTGACCTGGGAGTACAGTAGGACTGCTTGTAGAACTGTTATCTTGAGCCTATTTTTAAAAGAAAGAAGACTTTTTTTTTAACCTGTGGAGTTTGGTAATTTTCAGTAAATTTGCATATAATTGCTACTTTTAATAGAAACTGTGTTGTGCCAAGGAATATTAGGATTCCCACTTCTTTCTTTACTTACTTCCCTCCCTCCCTCCCTCCTTCCAAAAACATATAAAAAAAAAAGTAGAAAGAGGAAAAGATAATACAGGAAAGTCGCAAAACTTCAAGGGTCTGGTTTAAAGCCACAAAATCCATGGAATGCTCTGAAGAGTGAATCTGTGTCTTTCCTTTTCTCCCTTTTGTGCCTAGGTGGTGGTCCAGGGGGTTAGATTACAACATGTGCTCCAACAGCTAGGCACGAGTCCTAAGTCTGTATTTCCTGAGCTTTGTGGATTTAAATCATGTAGTTAAATTTTTTTTTTTTTTTTGGACGTGACTTTTTAAGAGAGATCGTGGATGTTGGGATACAACTAGATGCAAGATGCTCAGTATAAAAGCATCACAGCTTTTGCCTCCAGTTATAAAACTTAAAAACGTGGAAATATTGAGTTATTTCGCTCCCCCTGCCTTCTCCCTTTTTATTAATTGCATTATATTCTGCTAACACCCAGACAAGAAATATTCGACTTTTCCCCTCCTCACAGGAAAAGGTGGACGTGGACTGCAGGTTGTAAACCTAGACATACTTGGGGGAGGAAGACAAGAAGAGTTACATTTAAAAAAAGCCCAACGGAGATAAACGAATGTCCCCACATCTCCAAAGAAAAGTTCATCGGATTTTTATTCTAGAGACCTCATCTTCAGGATGTCAGTGAACACTTCCACTGCAGGAAAAGGTGTGGATCCAAACGCGGTTGATACTTATGACAGTGGCGATGATTGGGAAATCGGGGTTGGTAATTTAATTATCGATTTGGACGCCGATTTGGAAAAGGACAGACAGAAATTTGAGATGAATAATTCCACGAACACCACCAGCAGCAGCAACACCAGCTCCAAGGATTGCGGGGGTCTGACTTCCAGTGGGGCTAACGCTACCTCAGCCTTAGCTGACGGCCTAAAATTTGCTTCTGTTCAGCCCTCTGCTCCCCAGGGGAATTCCTCTCACAAAGAGACTAGCAAATCAAAAGTGAAAAGGAGTAAAACTTCTAAGGATGCTAATAAATCTCTGCCTTCTGCTGCCTTGTATGGGATTCCTGAGATCAGCAGTGCTGGCAAGAGGCAGGAAGTCCAAGGGCGCCCTGGAGAGGCAGCTGGCATGAATTCAGCACTGGGTCAAAGTGTGAACGCTAACCCAAACGGCAATAATAACAACACCAGCAACAACAACACTATTGCCTCTTGTGGGAAAAACAAAGAGGAGAAACCAGGTAAAAATCAGGGCAGCAGAGGCTCCAAGCGGGATAAGGATGCGGGGAAGTCCAGGAAGGACAAGCAGCATGACCTGCAGCAGGGCCACCCCAACGGCAGTGGGAGTAGCAGCAGCCAAGCTCCCCCTGGGCACCTCTATGGCTATGGGGCCAAGGGCAGCAGTGGTGGGAGCAGCAGCCCCTTCCACTGCGCCTCCTCAGCCGTGGGGGACGTGAACAAAAGTACCCCGGATTCAGGGTTAATGGGGAACTCTATTTTGGTAAAGAAGGAAGAGGAGGAGGAGGAGAGCCACAGGCGAATCAAGAAATTGAAAACAGAAAAGGTAGGAAAATCTCCTCTCCACCACCTCTTTTCTGTGTCTCCCCATGTCTATGTTAAACTTCCCACAAGTGTGTGCGTGGTTCCTGTTGTTCTCTCTGTTGTGTATGTGACCTGCATCTGTTCCTCTTCTAAACCAAAAATCCCTGTCCCCAGGCAGAAAATGCCATGTTTTGAGTGTGGTGTTTCTTAGCTTTTGATTTCCTCTCCTCATCCCCAGACCTGGGGAACATTTCTGTGTCATGTTGTCTGACTCTTTGATTGCATTCATCCAAAAGTTCAGAACCAGAGGTGGCTCTGACTGAGCTGCCTCTGGTGTCACCAGCAGTGTTGATACCAGTGGGATGGCACTGGAGGTTTGTGTGCTTGCAGGGGGTGTATAGCTTGGATACTGCCAGCAGCAGGTCGTGGAGTTGTATCTGGTCCCTTCCCATGGCACTGGCAGATGCTCACAGACATTCTTCTCCCAGCCTGTTAAGGAGCTCTCCCTGCCTTGTCCCTGGCCCCATTTTGCAGTCCAGATCGCTCCTGGGAGAAGTGAGGTTTTGGCAGAGAGTGAGGCCCCATTGCTACCCTCTATGCAGATGTGGGATGCTTGTCATAACAGGGGCTCATGGGGTGGCACAGCAACCCCGACACCCCCAGAGCCTCGGGTGAGAGCCTCGTGAGAAGGGCTAGGGAGTGAGGCAACAACCAGGCACTGCCTCTAGTGCTCTGGAAGGAGGAGGCTGAGAGGAGGGGACACACCTGGGTGCCAAGCTGTGTGTGCACAACAGTCTGTCTCCTGCTTGCAGAGCTGGTTTATCTGAGCCCCACAGCCCCTCGTGTGCACAACTTGTTTGCCGAATGGTTGAAATGCATGAAAGAAATCAGATGGGGGTGTGTGTGCTTTTCTTGCTTGCTATCATTGTGTGAAGGATGCTTTCTGGAGAGTAAAAGGGCCTTGTACTCTTAGGGAAGGGCAGAGGGAGAATAGTTTGTGTTTTGCTACTGCTCATTCCTGGGGCAAGTCAGTGTCAGCAGGATTTGCAGGGTCCGAGGAGCAAGAGGCTGTTTCTCCAGGACCTCGGGGTGCAGTTGGCCACCATCACGAGGCCAAGGAGCTCCATAGGTTGATATGTCCTCCTCGAGTAGCCATCCTGGCAAAGAGAGCAAGAGCTGTCTGCCTCCAAATGAGCAGTGTCAGGGTGCTAGGCTGCGACTTGGTTGTTGACTGTCGGTCTTCAGTTGTCTGGTTTTATAACTTCCCTGCATCAGTGCTCGAGGATGGGAAAACTTTAGTGTTGGTGTTAGCTGTGCAGAGTTGTCTGCAAATGTGTGTGTGGGGGATGAAGACGTCAGAGAAGAGTTATGCCTTTTTTATGATCTGTTCCTAGCGTTTTGTTTTTCAGTCATGTTGAAGGTTGTGTAATTTTAGGTGGACTTTTAAGGATTAGATAGGGGTGTTATGCCAGCAAATATTTCAAGGCAGGGAGTGAAATAAATTTCATATTGTATGCATATTATTGCTTTTAAAATAGCATATCTGCAGCTGCATTTGAATGAGCCTCGTGACCTTTTCTAAACACAGATGAGAAAAGAAAAACACAAATCACTTTAATTCCTAGGGATATGTTTGAACTTCTGTTGCTGAAAGTTGTGCCTGCTGTGGAAAGGTGTCCTAAAATCCCAAGGCCTCTTTATTAACTTAGTACAGTAGGCATTTACTTCTGTTGCCAATAGTCTTCAAATTGCAGCTCTCTAATCTGCTTTAACTATCTAGATAAATTGCCCTAATCCGGCCTTCACAATGGCTGTGGTTAAAGAGTCAGAGCCATTTGATTGGATTCAGTGGCTGCCTGGAATGTGGGAGGTGCTGCCCCTTGCAACCCCCTTAGCCTTTTAATCTCACAGCCAAATGTTCGCATTCAACAATTTTGTTTAGCTGGCAATCTGAACATTTCAGTATCTCAAAGGCTGCTGTCATGGCAACAGAGATTAGAGAGCAGTGGTGTGGTTTCTCCATCTCTCTTTTTTTTTTTTTTTTCGTCCCTTTTCATTCTCTAGTCGCACAGGAAATTGTATGAAGGATTCACACACATGCGAATAGTTGTACGTGCAATGCAAAGCAGATCATATGTAAATTAAGAGCAAACATGTATGGAGAGCGCTGGCTGCTGTGGCTGTTGCTCCGAATTTGTGTTTCCAGCAACAGCCGCTGCTTTTGGCACGCTGGCATTTTAATGTAGGCTTCGCCCATTAGAGCCGTGCAGTGTTGGCCATTGTCTGGCACAATGGTGTGCTTGCTTGCTGTCTTAAATAACATCTCCCAGTGCTTCTCCCCCACAAGAATGTTCCTTTCCAGCCATATGATAACAATAATAAAGCTTGTTGCTGACAATACTTGCAACTTTAAACCCTGCCTGTGGCGTTATTAATGAAACTTTAATGTTTTATGCTTGTTGTTTGGGCTTTCCCCCCCTAATGTTTAATAACCATTATATTTTTTAAAGGATTTTAGGTTCATTAAAGTGCTCTTGTTTGGGCTGTTCACACACTACATGTGCAGTGCTTGCAACAAAGCACCTTTGTGTCTTGAGACGAATATATAATTTTCAAGCCTGCATGTTTTAATCAATTTCAAGTTGTTGTAATGCTCATGAAAGACATGTCTCGTGAATTTGTACGCATTCTTGATAGCTCTGAGTGAGTTAATGCCTACTGATTCAAAATCTGAGGGATTTTGTATGTCGTGTGGAATATAATACTGCATTTGTTTACTATTTGTGGAAAGCTTGGAGCAGATTCCCGAGAGTTGTAGTCACTGTTTAATTTTCACAGCATGCTTCAGTGTCTATTTTTGGTCTATTTATTCTTTTTCCTTGCTGCAGAAAGTCATGTAAAACATGATAAATTGGATCTTATGAAGCCTAATTAAATCAATGACTGTGTTCTGCTGGCTCTTTTATGCAGAAACCACAAGTATGTTGTAAAAGTCGCCACTCCCCTAATATGTGGATAGAGTCAAAGTATGCTGTAATTCTAAGATGTTTGAGGTATATTTGGGCAGCCCATTTTGTGGTTAAGCCACCAGTGACATGTCTGAATAAGTAGCTTTGACAGGTACGCTAACCACTCCTAAGATTTTTGGTGTTAAAACCTGTCTCCATTCTCCATTCCTGATCCACTTTTTTTTTTTTTTTTTTTTTTTTTTTTTTTTTTTTTAAGTTCAGATTATCCACACTCTTTTGCTTTGTGTGTTACAGGAAGATTTTGGGATTTAAGGACTCGCTTTGCGATAAGGAAAGGCGGCTTTATTTGGCCTATGAAAATCTATGTGTTTAAGCAGAAATAATGCTGTAGTCAGGACTGTAAAAATTCTGGTTGTAGTTTTAAAATGAATGAGTCTAGTAATAGTCCAGGGCGGAATTTATTCTTTTTGTATTAGTTTATTGTTTCCCATTAAGACTGCCCTTCTTGTCTGAAAGTTGTCTTTGGTAAGTTAACATGTTGCCTGGTGTTGCTTATTCCCAGTCCTCGTGTTTTATGGTGGGTTGAGGGTGTTTTACACTTCATCAGGAAATTTGGCGTGCATTTTACCTATTGATGTAAAACATTTAAGTACATGCTGTGATTAATGATGCAATGGAGATGCGCTTTGCATGTACTTTTCTAGCTGGCCTTGGGTATAGCTCATTCACTGTGAAATAAAAGGGCACAGGGGTCACTTGCTGTAATTAAAGAACAAAGTCTATTGTTGCTTGACAGCAAACTGTTTTGAAAGCTACATAAGGGATTTGGCTGTTAAAACATTGGTAACTGTGGGCGCCACACAATAGGCACAGCTCAAGGTTCTTGAAGTTCTGTAGTGTTGTCTAGTAGTGTGACAGGGCTTTTGGGGCCGGGTGAAGAGGTGTCGCCCTTTGGCCAAGGAAAGCTTTTTGGCGCCAACCTGCTGACCCCACCAAAATGAATGGCCGAGCGCTGCCGTTGAGTCCCTGGGCAAAGTGGGAGCTAGTGCAACACAGCGGGGCCCGGTCCTGGACGCTTATATATGCATGTGTTGCCACTGGTAAACTCATTCAGAAGGCACAGGGAAATGCTTCGCTTTGGGCATTGGTAATTTTACAATTTTAATAACTTCATAAATACCCGGTAAAGAGGAAAGGATTGATTGGCTAGATGTCAGGAGGTTAAGCATGCCCTCCATGTTAAAGGGCTTTGCTGCAAGATTGTTTTAATTAAAGTTATATAAAGACTTGTTTTTCCAAAGTAGCATTTTATAGTCCAATAAATGAAATGTATGTTAGAAGTGTTAAGCAAAATCTCCCGTAACCACAGAGGTGTTCAATAACCAGATTCAAGTAACGTGGAAAGTACCATCTGTTCCTGGTTTTCAACATAAAAACATGAATCTAAAAGCTGTGATTTGCTCATGCTTTTTGACTCTCATTCTTTTATTATTATTATTATCATTATTTAAAAAAAGGTTCACCTGAGACTTTACAGAAGCGTTCTGAAATGCAATAATAGAGGGGAGACTGTGAAAACACATGTTCATACATACATTTAACCAGGTCTACTTTCATTTAAAGAGATTTCCAGAAGCTCAGTCATTGAAGAATTTATAATAGTGAATCACCTCCTGCAGGCAAACACAATAAGGGTCAGTTCTTCAAAGATCTTAGTATTTAGCTAGAACCTGAATTATTCTGTCAATTTTTCCCTGAGAGGCAAAAAAAAGGAAGAAAGGAGAAGAAGAAAAAAAGACTCTCAAAGGGTAACTTTAGCAAGCTCTTATCAGTTACACAATTGTATATGATAAAACCATTGACTAGAATTTTCCATGCAGTGACTCTTCTGCTCTTTAGAGAAATATTCTCAAATTGTTGATAGCTGGAAAATTATTCTTTAAGTTGTGAACTGTTAGGCAATGACATTCTTGGCTGCAGCCTATGAGCCCTGGATAAAACGCCATCCGGCCTTTGTTTGAGGCCTTTTATTGAAGCTAATGACTGGTCTTGT